TGGATAGCTATTTCAAAAATTAATCTGCAAGAATACCTGCATTGCGATCTTTAAGAGGTAAAAAGAAAGAACTTCTTCTTAAGAAAGAACTTTTCGTTCAAACTCGGTTGTTGAGTAATTAATTTTAAGACACCCAGTATATGATCCATGGCTGGATTTGTGGATGGATCTGCAACCTCGAAAATCCATCCACGCGAAGTTGCGAGATGACAAAAATTATATTTACGGCGAGAACTGCCTCAGGATAAGAAACCTGAAGAGGATCTTAATGTAGAAGCAAAATAAAAATACCTACAAGACGAAAACGTTCCGCTGACTTTCTCGCCATTAATAACTATTCACCATCCCTAGTTGACTCTATCCTGAATAGAACTAGGAGAAGGCTTAGAGTTGCTGCAGCTGCGGACCACTTTCTAATCCCACTGTTTCCAAGTCTTATTACTACTCCATTCCTTACACAAGTCGGATCTCTCAGGGGGTTGCTAACTTTGTTAAGGGTATGGATCATGTCTACATTTCCTTCAGGTCTGACAATAGCTTGGCGAGTAATCTGTGTCACAATAAGGATGCCATTAACGCTTTGGATAAGAGTGGTATATAATACTGAATTGTGCCTCTTGTAATGTTTCATATATTGGTAAAATAATGAGAAAGCTGGGGTCCGAATTAAGGAGCATCTGAGGTACCCTGACATATCTAATTTTGAGCATCATTGGTCTTTCTCTGGCCACAGCTTTGTACCTAATGATAATGCGATGATTTTACATAACGTTTTTGATTTCTCCTTTAGATTGAAGCTGCTGGAGAATTTGGAGATTCATAAGGGGCCGCGAGGTTGGTTCGAAGTGCGTGAACACACACACAAGCCAACTTAATCTGATTTCTTAATTTTCTCTTATTTTTATATGATTGTACGGCTTTCACTCGGTAACGATCCCAAAAGTCATCACTTAATATTATAAGCATATTATTGCCCTTTTGTCTTTACAATACCTTACTTGTTCTGATCTCAGGTATTTAATTTTTAAGTTTACCGTTAATTTAATTTTTATTTAATTTAATTAATGTTTTGATTGCCAGTAACTACTGAAGCCAGTCACCGAACCCTCTCATTGCCCTTTGAATTATATATATATTTTTTATATTTAATTGCGCAATCTTTCCATTTAAATAACGAAATATATTTTTGAGTTTTTCAGCATCTGAGAATTTGTTCAGTATTTTGCACGGTTAAAAAAAAGAAGAGAATCTCCTTTTTGTCAACCAAATGTGAAATGTTTCTGCCCGCTGTTCTTGGGCCAGCTTTATCAGACTGTCAGTCTCCGTACTGATAGGACCGATCAGTCAAGTTCTTTTATTTTTATTTTTTTTTGGTTTTGTTTTAATTTCAACTTTAGTTTGTTTTCTTGTAAGTTTGTCGTATACAATTTTAACCATTTTAGGCCGGTTTAAGCAGTTTTTAACCAGTTTTGACTATTTTTGACCGTTGATTGACATGTTTTATTCGGTACTCTTAGGAATGTTTGCTTCTGATTTGACAAGTAAGTTTTGTTTTGTTTTCGTTTGCTTGGTGTTCTATATATATATAATATTCTCCAGAGTCCTTACGGTTATTTTGTTTTTTTAGCAGCCTTGATGATGACGTAATTGTCGGAAGCGCTTGGCCTTAATTGATAATTACCCAAGTCTTCGGGGGAACTGATCCAATCAATCTATGGAGAGGCGTGAGACAGAAAGATACAGTATACCCTAAAATATTCAGATTTGGAGAAACAGATCTGGAGGATATCTTTAAGACACTTGAATGGGAGGAGAAGGGTGTTAACATCAATGATGAATTTAAATAACCTGAGATTTACAGAATATTTCAGCTTGGACGGAAAACATATGGAAAACTTAGTGATGTATTTATTTCCAAATTTTCACAATACCTTAAAACACAAGTTTTTGAGCAATGTGTCCTAACGACCTTAACGTACGCCGCATAACCATGTAGCCTTCATGAGGGGACCATGGGGCGTTTGAGGATTGCTCAAAGAAAAATTGAGAGGAAAATGTTGAGAAAACGATTACAAAAGCGAAAGACAAACGAATGGATGAGACAAATGCAAAAGTGATAAAGATAGCAGAACGGGTGATGAGGCTAAAATGAAAATGAGCTGGTCATTTGATGAGGACAGTTGATAATAGATGGACCAAGAAGACAACTGAGTGGACGCCCAGAACAACTCAAAGGAACCCAGGACGACCAACAACGAGGTGGAAAGATGACATCCAGAGACTGGCAGGTACCCAATCGATGGGTCAGAGAGTCATCGAATCAGACGCCCGGTAGAAGTAAATGGCGACGAATAGGAGAGGCCTATGTTCAGAGACGGATAGACATATGCTGAGGATGATGATGATGATGATGATGATGATCAAGCATGACCTAAGTTAGTGTATATACATATAAACAAACAGTATTAATTGAAATAGTTAATGGAAATATAGCATTTTTAAATATTAGTTATCAACAGATTCTCATATTTGACCAAGATGTTTGTTTGCATAAGTTTAAAAAGGTCATAGCAATATGTATTTACGTAATGTTAATTAGGAAGACTAACTTGAAAAACATTGTTGCCGTCTTTCTCATATAGTTTTTTGCAAATTTCTCAGTTTTTAATAACAATGAATGTTTTTGCTATTTTTTTTGTACTTCTATAAAGCCCCAAACAACACCTCCATAGTAATGACGCAAACTTTGAATCACCCTGTATGGTAGGTACACCAAAATGAGAACGTAGAGATTGTGAATAAAAATATGAAACAGTCCGTAATACTTAAAGCAATAAAGTTATTGGTATTATATTTATGCCTGTTTATGAGTGATGATTTTTTTTCTGGCAATATAGAAATGTTGAATAGAAATGGTTAATGCTCCTAGAGCCATACGTTACATTACACCTGTATGTTAATGCAATTGATCAATTTCCTAATTAGATTATTCCGAAATCGCTTTAACGCATCTATAAAACTCATTAGAACCTCTCTTGTTTTATATCCTTGTTTGTACATGCCTGAGTAAAAGCTATATCCAGATTTTTTCGAACTGCTCTTGGTTAATCCTTGTATTACTCATATAAAGTGGATAATTCCATTTATCTGTAAGTATTAATTAATACAATATTGTTAATGGAACTGTTCCACATCGTTTATCTTTTTATTTGCCTTATCTCAAGCACTATAAACATTTTTACATTTGCAGTTGCCTAATTAAAAAAGACGAGGCGTGAAGTATGGAGTCAGCTTAATTTAGGCATGTAGACAAGAATAAGTGTCTCACTAGTCAATAAGTGAATGAACCGAGTAAACTTTGAAATTCGGAGAAATATGGAAAGTTTCCTGGAGTTTAGTGAAACATAGACTACAACTCATATTTCAAATGATCATTATAGTTGCACTTATCAATTTGGAAAGCAGTTTTCATTAATTTTTTGAAAAAGTGTTTTAATGTAAGACTTTTTAGTATCATGGATTATATCAGCCACATAAAGAATATATTTCTCTTCCATTTGCGAGATGCTTCAAGGTGAATTTATGTGTACTACAACATTCTTTGTAGTACTAGTAATACTTTTATGTATATACTTTTGTGTATATTATAATGTATGCCTTCTTTGCATATTATTAGTTTTTGTCACTATTGCAATTTTTATAGATATAAACACGCCTTTTTTCTTCCGTGTTGTTCACCTGCTTCTATTTATTGTGCGTTGCTTTTTTGAACGTTAGGAATGTGCCTGAATGTGATTGGAGAATCGAGCCAACATCCTCATTTTGATGACGTCAAGACTAGACTAGGGAGTGTTGGAATGACGTCAAACCTGACCCTCTCGCTTCCAGAGAAAACTCAGTGCCAGTTGGGGCGCTGAGAGATTTATGTCAACAAATATCGATTTTCGCATTTAGGTTTGATGTCGCTTTTATCTCCGCAGTTGGTGGTTTGCCAAAAAGGCGTTACATATTATACGACCGATTTTAACGATTATCGATTTATATGTTTCAGTATTTGGTTGAATATAAAATACGACGTTATACCACCTTAAAAATGCATACATACATTCAACATATAATGCCAGTTTTTATGCAAAAACCAGCAATGTTTTCTCTGAAATTGGCTCCATATAAAAACATTGTTGATCTTTAATTGTATGTTAAAATTTCTACACAGAAAATGCTTTTTTGTTGCAAAAATCGCATTAAATAAATATGAATTCTTACAAATATCCTATTTTAAGAATCAAAAAAGGAATATTTTAAGTAGTAAATTACTGATATCAATATTTTTTCAACATTACACGTGTCGAACGCTATAATTTTGTTTTACAGGTACCGTTAGGTCAGATGAATAAAACATTGTTGTTATTATTTAGATATATTTATATTTCAATGTAAATTATAAAGAAAAAAATAAGTTTGTTGAACTACTATTTCAATGCATGCACTACTTACGTATTAACGGTATAATCTTTCTCAGCGTTTCACTTTAGTTTCAAAGTTTCATTTTTTTTCTAGTCTCTCTTGCAATTGATACCCAACAAATATTAGGCTTGAGTTGGCATTAGCAATATTAACAATTTAAAACCAGAAAACCAAATACATATACACTTTTAAACAAATGAATTGTAAAGATATTACAACCATTCACACATAATAACTTTTTGTTTTTTTACCGAAAACGTACATAGAAAAAGTAGAAGGCGTTTTAAGATATGTGCAATATTTATTACTTATTGCCCCTTTTTTGTCGACAAAAATGAATAGTAACCAATAAAATACTGGAGTCACATAATGTATCAAATATTAAAATACTTGTGTATATTCAATGGTAAAAACGTGCCTGCAGTTCATTACAAAATATCCTCAAAATAGAACACAGCTATAAATAATAGAAAATGCACCAAAAGCTATTACAGGTATTATAGGTTCTCAGCGATCGATATGAAACAGGCTAATCAATTTTCAAGGGAAGTAGGCAATTAATGGAAATCGTCGGTTTCCTTGAGCCTATTTTTAGAAGGGCAATATACTTGACATCGTGTATTTTTAATATCAGGGCTTTCACCGTCTAATATAGCTTTTAGAAACTATGCTATGATTGGCAGAAAATGGATCGTCTGTCGATGTTTTGACTAAAGTTCAAAAGAATTTGCCGCGGATTAGGCTCGGCTCCTCAGGTCTGGACGCACCATTAAACTACACAAAATACTTGTGCGAAAACAGATTAGCTGGAAGCGTTAGATAAGAAAATGTATCAGATAAAAATACCTACCCATAAGAATCAGATGGAATATGTGATAGAAGCACCTATGAAAGGTCAATTCAAAGGACGGGAAAAACAATAAACTCGAATTTTCAATGCAAAGGAAATCCCTGGTACAATAAAGAAGTGAATCTGGCCTACGAAAAACAAACAACCCGTTTTCAAAGTAAAAGCATATCAACAAAAAAACTCCAATAATACTGAAAAACTATAAATAGAATCACCTTTATAATTTGTTGAATATATCGCCACAAGCATGGAGTAAAGTAACTTCCTTTATGGTACCCAGGGACAGTAAAAAGAAGCCGAAAGATATAAATARAAAAAAAAACACTAAAAAATGTGAACTCGCTTTTTAAAACGTAGTTAAAAACACTGTACGTACTTTCCTGACTGTGTTTCACAACACTGGTAACCCGGAAAATTACCCAGCAAAAGTTGAAAAAAGAGTGAGAAATAAAATAACATTCAAAGGAAAGAATGTTTGGTTGAATATGAAGAGCTTGAAAACAGGAAATTACCTTCCCTAGTGAGTTTAGGGATGGCTTTAATTTTCAAAGAAGAACAAAACGTAGGGAACCTCAGAGGGATAATCCTGGTGTGCACCATCTCATGAAACTGTTCGCTAGGTCCTATTAATCAGCATAAAATAATTTATTTGGATATTCAGTCGCAAATCTGGTATATGAAATACCTGTTTCAAAAGCAAATACATTGTAGATAATGCATTTTAATACAATTATTTAAAAATCTGTAACAAGGCAATGAAGTTGATATAGAACTTCAAGTACATAAATCATTTTGAAATGCTTTATAACAGTTAAGACCAGGAGGAAATGAGGAATTAGTGAAACCCGTGGTAGTTATTATACAATTTTATTTCTAGATTATTTAGTATTAAAACACGGACTCAAATACCTCATCTCTAAATAGTAATATGAGCTACTTGAAGCAAATATGTGAAAATACTTAGGAGCTTAGGAATTTATTTCATTATTTAAATAATGCTAAGAATTAACATTCTGGTAGAAAACAATAGAATAAATAATACGTTCCAACACAGTTCTAATATTAAAATCCGTCGATAAGAATGCAATTAATTTTAATCTCATGTATCAATAAAACGAAATGCACCTTGTACGTTTCTAGTATTTATGCCAGCTTATTAACGAAACATGTTTATTTGAACTTTGTTCGTTTAGGCCCTGATCAACAAACCGTATTTGGCAGTAATTTAATGACGATTTTGGCATTAACTATTGATTGATCGTTGGCAATAAACATATACAATCTAAATATATTAGCGTTAATTATTATTGATGACTTTCTCAGTTAACTGGCTGCACATGTAATCGCACAACAACGTGCGACGACCATGAGGTTTGTTGAACGAGCTTAACAAGGATTTATGTCTTCCTGTTTTTACTTGAATAGGAGTTATCAGATTGCACCAAATGTTATTTCGAAACTTTAAACATTGAAAATGTGCAAATAAGAATTAAATTATACACCAAAAATGGAAGCGATTAAAATGTTGATCGTTTAAATACTTGACAGACAAACAATGCCCCAATTTAATCACCTGACTAGTTGTTATATGCCCCAAACACTTAAAAATTGGATGCCAAAGTACAAAATTTGTAGACTCGCATCAAAAACTTGACAATAAATTGTTAAAATTGGGCAGACAAATATATAATATTGAATTGAAACGCAAATTATTTTTTTTGAACCAGTGTAGAAAAAGTGCATACAACATATGCAAGAAATATAGGAATAGTAATGGAAAACTGACCAATCATGGGCTAAAAGATAATATTATGTCTAGATAATTGATATAAATACATTTCCATTGTATTGTTACCACTAACATAATGGCTAACATTTAGAAAAAATATATGTGTACCTTTCTTTAGGAATAGTCGGTAATGGAAATATCGCATACATATTTAACCGTGATATTTATTATTACATTATATTAGATACATATGAAGTTTTTACAGACAAGCTTCAATAGTCTAAGGGACGATTTGCATCTTTATAACCCCGACTTTTATGACAGTACTTAATTTCGCTTTAATTAAATGTCTACAATTTCTTCCCGTTTTATCAGTTTACCTACATATCTAGAATATACGCTTTTGAAAGAAAATAGTGGTAAAAGAAGTTTAAAATATTTTAAATCTAAATCGAAATGTGTAGCGAAAATTGCGAATTCATTTATCGTATGAATGATTTTCATATTTTGACTCCATATTTTCGATAAGTGGTATTCTATGCAAGGTTTTGTCAATCCGTCCAGCCGTTCCATCTTTCACAGTATAATACTTTGTAACGTAGGATCAGTGTTTACTAATCATCAGCACATGCTGGCACATGTATTACAGTTTTCCGGCAAAAATCGACTGGGGAAAGATTCCGCACAAAATTCACTTTAGTGCAAAATCAGACCAATTGAATGCCAAACGTTTTCGCAAACTATCCAGTCGAAAACCTCTTGTTTGTAATACAGACCGATTTTGAAATACAAACTTCATTTCATATATGAATATGAAAACAATGAAGCACGAACTTCTAAATAAAACAAGAAGACAATTCCTTCATTATAATCGTATTTAAAGTATTTTAAGTTTATAATGTTGTTTTAATTGGATTATAAAACGGTAATGAATTTGATTGCACTGCCATAGAAGACGTACTTGAGATACAATTAGTATTCTAATACATATTTATCTTTAATATATTATAATAAATTAGTTGCCAATTAATAAAAAAACTTTTTGTTCAGATAGTATTCAGCCAAGGAGGAAAATGTATAATACTGTAAATCCTTCATAATAAATCCTGCAACTATATTTACTATTGTGGAATGACTTCGTGGCATTGCACCAATGTTATTCGACGTTACCTTGATTCCATTTGTTGATATACAATTTCAAATTATTAAAAAGGTTAAATTTGAGAGTAAAAATTTGTTTGACTTGAACCTCGACTATTAAATAACCAGTAAATCTTAAAACCCGTAGAATATTTTAATTTTTTATGAGAAACCATTGAAAAAGGAGGATTGACCACAAATCCAAATAATATTTTGACATGTTCTGCATGTCTTAGAAGCTATACGAATGTAGGTATTCACTTTTTCATTAGTAATGCACATGCTTTCCTACTCCACAAACCAATCTCGTTTAATTTTCCCAAAAAATGCTGATATTCAGTCACATCTAATTGTAGGTAATGGCATTCAGTATTTTAGCAATTATGTTTAAGTAATTCTAGTGGTGTTATAACATAAGAGTCGCATGACGATTTCCTTAAACTACTTGATAAAATAATTTCCTACCGACTACTTCTAATTTTGTTTCTGCTAACATCCAAGTGAGCTTTAATTACCTCTCAAAATAAAATTTAGAATATTCGTTTAATTACCGTTATATGTACCTATCTAGTAAATACACACACAAATTGTCTAGTTCTGAGTATTTTGTAAAAATGTGGGAAATTCACAAAACTAGAGAATTGAGTGAACCTTAAATACATTTTCCAAATGTTTCTCCAATCGTCAATATCATTGGAAAATTAATTTCGTTTAGATTTATAATTCGTCGATTTACGCTGTGATCAATTGTAATTATTATTTTCAAAACACAACTGCACGTGGGAACGAACAAAACAATTTATTGTTTCCGTAATGAGTTACTGAGAACTTCACTCTATAATATTAAAGCGGAAAATGCCATCATTTACCTTAGGATAAAAATAACTCGTCTAGAGATAGAGATAATCCGTAAACGCGAACTAAAATTAGCTTAGTTCATTGGAAAATTCCTTCGTACAAATGGTTGAAGAAATAACTATGCTTTCTCTATAACACGATTACATGACAAATATTGTGTAGTTAATTGTAGAACAGATGTTATTAATGACCTAAGGTTATCTGATATACGCATAAAGAAAAACCGAAATTGGTAGTAAATGTGTTAAACACTTTATCAGGTATGTGTTTGATTTATCTAGTTTCAACTTGCTTTCCATTGCAATTCAAGGAAATTGTGGATCAATGATTAACCACTACATCAAACCAGTTGAATTCAGTTACGTTACGAACATCCCATTGACTCCAGAAATGGTTTATATTCAGATTAATCGAACAATTACATTTATTTTCCTTGTTATATTACGGGAATTAATGCCCTTCATCATGTCCACTTCAATTAGAATAAATAATAAAAGAAGTAAATATTACACATGTATATGGTTTTAATTAACATGTTTATAATAAATATGCAAAAATGATTTATATTTAATAAAAACTGTAATAAAGAATTATTTTTTAATATGACTTTTAGATTTCTAAGGTGAGGTCAGATTTTATCAAAACATTCTCAGCTCATAAAATTAAATGATTATTTTCTGAACATTGACCTATTTAAGATGCTGTATACAAATTTTGCGTGCAAAACATTTCCAAGGAAAACCATTTAGTTTAATTTATCATGCGATCATGGTTTTTTTCTAAAATAATGATTCCAGAAGAGAACATTTGGAGAAAGGATATTTTAACTGAATTATAGATTTCCAATTGAAAATGTCCTTTTTAAAAACGAAAGTTTTTATTTTGACGTACAAGATTTYGCGTGCTGAAGGCTTGACAGAGAATACAGAGTGCGGGCAAATCGGGGTACTTATAGACTAGATACAGAAATGCTTTATCAACAGAATGTCTGCAATTGTGCTGCTGCGTTCGTGGTTTCCATTTATGGCATGGATATAACTACTGGGAAGTTTTTCATTGCGCAGGAAWTATACATATTTATCTAATCTACGTTTCACTAATAAACACTAAATGAATTTTTAATTTTCTGTTTGTTTTCCAATTTTTTTTTGAGCGAAAGCACCACTTTCTACTATTTATGCTAGAATTCTTTATTATTTTTCAACATGCATGAAAATTTAATATCCAAGTGTGATGGTTAAATTCTCGTGCTTTCAGTTTTTGCTTCCGACCCCTCGCCAGTTGGGAGCTAGAAAGGGTCGAATGGAAAATTCCACTACCCCACGTAGTGGAATTTTCCATTCAATTTCCAGTTATTACGCTGGCGTTGCTTGTAAAACGAACTGTATCAAAGGACATTTTATATTTGTGTTAATGGGAAATATTTGCTAAATGCGTATTGACATATCCAAGATAAAATTGTATTAAAAACCTTGGTGCTTATGAAAAATCTGAAAAAACTGACTTTGGAGAAGATTTAAAAGATATTTCTTTATCTATCTAATTATATATGGAATTATTGTGAAAACTGAAATATGTATAGAATTAATATAGTCCTTATTTTTTTAATTAATTTTCTTGAATCTGGACATCCATTATTATCGTCTATTTTTAAAACCAGCTATATAACCAGGCAATAAATATTGATGGAGAAACCCCCAGTCCTTAAAGGAATTTTCCGCTTACTAATACCAGTCATTTGCCGAGGGTTCTAAATTTATTTAAGCATATTTACTTAGCTTGCGTGTTTGAAAATTATTTATGATCCCCATTTCCTTTAATGTGTATTTTATTTACTGCATTGCTTAAACCTTAATAAAATAAGTTTGGGTTAGTTACATGCTGGAAGTCAAAATAAATAAATGTAAAAGTAAAATAGTTAAGCGCAAAATATATTAACGCAAATAAAATATTTAATCGAGTTTATTGACAGTTTAACAATAGAAAATATTGTTACAATAATTATGTGCGGACTATTTTTTTTATTGATTTCATGGGAACTATACAATCTGTTCTACAGAACAATAAGTAGTCTTTGTGACTTAAAAGTAATGAGACAGGTAGAAATGATTCTCCAGCGAAAATCTCTCTTTCTTAATTATCTAAATAGTTCCTATTTTGTCGACATGTATTAACAATTCAACCTGTCAATTAGGTCCTTGAACCGTTTGAGCTGGCACATTTCATCAGCTGTGGACTAATTATAAATAAAAATTGATTTTGAAGATGATTCACAAACATTGCTAAAATATGCAAAATTTACACAACCCCGAATAAACATAAGATCTTCAATTATACAGATGATTGTTACATTGAAAAAACTTTGAGAAAAACGGAATGTTCCTCAAATGCCATATTTGAATTATTATTTCTATATATGTATATTACTATTTATTTAAATTACTGTTTTGTTTAATTCAGTCCCAAATTGAGTATCCTAATAATTCAGTTTTTAGTAATCAAATAATTTTGCATCTAATTAAAGTATCCAATACACTTCATTAATAGTTTTTATTGCAGACGTAAATAATCAGTATTCTTATAAAAAGTAAAGACCGAAATTATCAAATGCTTTTTGCCTAACTGAGCTTCAATCGGGTAGTCATTGATAAAACACGTTACATAGGTTTAAAAAAATTGTTTGCTATCACCAACATTTATTTTTATTACTTAATCACCACGTATCCTCACAATGTGAGTAATCTAACAAAGTCGCAGCCGCTCTGTATAAACAAGTTGTAATGTTAGCAAACAAAGTAATTTTTATTAAAGCTCATTGTGATTTTATTATCAAAACTTGGAATATGTACGGTTTTACTTTAAGCTGTTGATACTCTGTAATTCACTGATCATTGTATAATAAAATGCTATTTTTTAAATATTTAATATTGTTTAAAGTAGTAACCATTTCTGATATCGGATGACTGTTAAATACCGAGTGAAATAAATATGGACAACTTTTGAACATGCTAGCGTTCTGTTGTTCTCTATTTTTAGAGGGAAGAATAAATAAAAGCAGACAAATTATCAAAGTTTTAATGGAAATGCAAAAACACATCGGTTGGATCAACTAGGTGATTAAAAACAACATAGAGATAGATCTCAATGCCTCTAACAACGTGCTTAGTTGGTTTAAGGGCGAAGATTTAGAATAGATAGTATTAATTACATTAAATGAATCTCTTTCCTAATTGGCTGGTCCAGTTTGGGATGCTAATATGTCTTCAACTGTAGAAATGAAGAATACTGAAAATATAACAATTGAACGTAATTTAATATTCGTTGCATGTACTTACTTTAAATCGGCTGCCTAACTTTTTCCTCAGTCCACACTAGGAAAGTTAGAGTTAGATATGTATTTTGGGTCTTGTCAGCAGTTCAGATCTTATTTTCCTTGGGGTCAGTCAGGTCCCAATATTCAGATTACTATACCTATATGAATATTGAAGAAGAGAAGCTCGTTTTGATATTGGCGTCAATCCAAGAACATTGTAGGAAAAATTACTTATTTTCTTCACTTACCTTTAGATCGTCAATGAAGACTATAATTCTATACAGATTCAAGAAACACTGCTTCAATAATATTTGATAAAGTGTAGCATTCAAATGAACTATATTGGATGCGTCACAACATGCCGAAGGAAAAGTGTGTAATGCCATCATTTTATGTTTAGGACTAGATCAGAAACAAAAATAAGGTAGATCGTCAAAATGGTTTCGATGATCAAAAGAATCGCACTCAAGGTACGCACAAAAATTACCTGCTTGTGGCGTCTAGAAAGTAGATCCTGTAGATCTCACTATTTCATGGGTTTTTAAATATCTACGTCCAATGGCTCAACTTGAACGTCATTCAACCGCCCGTATCCAAAATGTTGATAACCACATTCGCTAAGAACAAGGAGAATCGTTGAAAATTTTCATTAAAAGAACAATATTTCTGCTTTCTATTTGGGAACTAGCGAATACAAGCTTTGAGGAAATCGGAAAGGTTGCGTAGCAACTTTATGCAGATGCACATTGTGTAGGAACTTGATGTATTCCCCAAGATAGACCCATATCTCGTGCTGTCGAAACGTCATATATTATTTTGAGGCACACAAGGAGCAAGCGCTTTTCATAAATTCTTGGTTCTGAGAAGTAAAATTTATATTTTCGAATTGTACAAACGAATTGAAAACATCCTACATGTTATAGTTTAGACAAGTTTGAGTTACCTTTTGAGTTAAGCTACTTAAAATTCTACTGGGAAGCATTTTTTTACAAATACATATTACTTAATTAGTTGATATAACATTCAAAAATGTAATTTTGGTCCCACTCAAAACACCAGTGAATTTAAGGTATTTTTCAGTGTCGCCTACCAAATGCACATAATAAATATGCAGTGTAGGAAGCAAAAAAAATTCAGCCTTGGCATTGCTATTCTAGCAGTAAAATATGTTATTATCGGGTAGGAAAACGTAGGTTTGAATAAGCGAGGGCAATTTGAATTGTTGGCTTTTATAGTTGGTTAACCATTGTTTTTCAAAGAGAATATAATACAAATTTTGCTTCTCTTATCTGCCTTTTCTATTTTCGCTAAAGTTGTTTAACACATTTCGCTGACAAGAATCTGCCAGAATGGAATGTTTATTGAAACTCAAATAGCATGGCTTTTATAACACATCTTCAACGATTATTACATTTCCAATATATCCAGTAAGCATAGTAGAATTTTGAACAAAACTTAATGAAGCAAAAACTGTGCGCTATGCACTCTAACCTATAAAATTATTATTGCCATTTATCAAACAACTGTTTGAGATCTAGATATCTATATCTCAAAAACGTTGCCAAGCTCTTAAAATTTGATTTATTGGTTCTAGTTTGGAAGAGATCTGATAACAACTAATTAGTGAAGGAAGGGTAGTTTAGAAGGCTGTTGATCCAAATATGCCTAATTATTAGCTTTGATACTTTTTAGATTTCACAAAATTGTTCAAAAAACATAACATTTGGATATCTTTGAAAATTAAGAAATTTGTTTGAAGCCTGACGAAGAAAATATGCATCATAACACTTTAAAGTTCGATAATCCGCGTATAAATAAATTTTTGCAGTATGAGGTATAGATAAAGCGTTTTAACGTTCTCTTATTATTGCTTCTATCGAGTTGAAGATTAAACTTTTCTGATAAATCCTAATGAGTGAAACATAGTTCCCAACAAGAACAATTCAAAATGTCGAAAGGACAAATCGTATCGTTCAGAGCCGTTCCTTAAAGTAATTCTACATCTCGTAGAATTTAAACGGAAATTACTTAATAATAAGTGAGGCAGGTTTGATATTTGTAGCTAAATTTAAATTCATGGCAACTTGTTGATGTATAGAATTTGAAAATCAGCTAGTTTTCGGGGGTAATTGCACAAGTGCTTCAAAATTACCGATAATTTTGCATGAAAGCTTGTTGTCTAAAAACTGCATGAGTTTATTTTCATATTGTGGCGAAAAAGCCCGACTCCGAAAGAGGAAGCTTTTTGGTTCCAATGTGAAAATAAACGAATGCAGTTTTTACAAGACAACAAGCTCGAATGCAAAATTATCTGTTTATTTTGATGCACGAGTGTAATTTTGATGAATTATATCCTGAGTAAACAAAGTAAATGTGGATTTTATTTCTATTATATTTTATTACCCTTTAAATTTTATTACTTATGTTTATTAAATTTAATTTGAATATCTTAGGTATGTCAGGAAGACATTTTATGTCTAATTTAACATGAAAAGACACCTGTCAAATATTTTTTGTAAACAATGCAATTATCGTTGAGTGATAATTGCACACTGTGCGCCTACCGTATGAATGAGAGTATCCATCAGTCATCAATGCTTCAGATCATATGAGGAAGATGTAACAATAGCAGCAGGTGGACACGCTAATGTTGCTAAACCGGGAAGTTCTGTAGAAAGACTAATATAAAACTTATGTACCTACTTCCGCTGCTGCTTTTCTTTTTCTCAGTTTATGAATATCAAAAATAGCTTTAAAAGTGAAAGAGAGAACGTTAACAAGTAAATATATAGCCATCGATCCCGGGAATGAAGGCACGCACAATTAAGGCTCAAAATTTGTGGCCCCTTGGACCGGGGCATTCCCTATGCCAAAAACACCTTTCTGGAATAGACCCGATTATCTATCTGTTCAATTCAATTGCTACCTGTCGAGGGTGAGAATTAAAGCATCAAACAACTTTAGATGAAATGTAACAGGAAGATGAATACTATTTTGAAGTGGTTAACCTATACGAAATGAAATCGTGTGTGCCTTATACAAAATTTGTTTGGAATTCATTAATTATGCAGTAATGAAGAAACAGAACGATAATAGATGAGAGTTTTGACATCCAAAGTGTGGTGGTTAAACCACGCTTGTTGTATCAATGTGACCGTACCCGTAAACAATAACATAATTAATTATCTTTATTTAGAGTATTATAAAGCCTAACAAAAAATTCATAGAAAATCACCCAGAAACCATACATGGACCAATGTTTGTACAAATTACTGGAAAACGAAAGCAGATACGAAAACACTTCAAGAGATAAATAAATTCGTAAATTGAACCAGAAATTCACAAATTGGTTTGGTTGAAGTCAGTGGCGCACCACAAAAAAGTTCGGGGGGGTAAAAGGAGGTATGCCTATATAAAAAAGAACGACCTGTAGATTTTCACAACCAGTTGGCTTACCTACGGGTAAAGGGTCTCAACATTAACCTACTTTAAAAATTTGAGCAAAATATCTCCTAAATTGTAGGAGTCAAAGAGAAAATACCATTTTTTTTAACTTTAATGGAAACTCGACTTGTTTTAAGTTCCTCTCCACGTCCCTACTCTGTGTCCATAAGGTTTCCAATCACTCTGTATATTGTGCCACTGCCTGTGCCATGGCAACAGGTAGGCGAAGAATACTAATTTATACAAAATGCTTTTGAAACTCATTAAACGTACTGGGGTAATAAAGAGGTAGAACAGACGAGAAAAGTTAATTTTTTTGCTTAATTTTCAATACTTACATTATAATTTGGTAGGCTCCGACTTGCTAAACGTTCGACATACATTATAATTGCCTCAGAAGCACGTGTTTTAGCTAAACCATACATTAAGTTCATATCTTCGAATGGTTTAGATGTAAGTACATACTTCTATAGTTCTTAATTGCTGGGAAAATCTTACTAAAGTTTAAGTAAAATCATTTTCCAAATATCATCGACAAAAAAAGCATATTTCTATGCATAAAATGCAAATTTTTTGTATGTATCTTTATTTCAATTTTGTCTAGTGCATCAACCTTATTAACAAACTATGAAAATTATGTAGTAATTAATAATAAAACATATATAAATATTAATGACTTAACAAAGTATTATTCTTTATTGCAATTTCAGCTAATTTGAATAGCAAATCAGTGGCCATGCAGTTTCTATGCAAGATTTAAAAGCGATATATCTTCTGCAATTTTGCATTAAAATTACGTACAACTTGCCTATTGAAAAATGAGACTTCCCATATTTCAACAAATCAATTACAACATTACTTTAAAGATTTTTGTTAGATTACCATATTCGCAATTTTCCCTGTTTTCATAATAAATTTGCTGGTCTGAAACCAATCGTCAGTTCGCAGTAATTAATAACCTAATTGCGTACATACGATACCCATGACTGACATTTTAAAATCCTTGCTAATTGTTTAACGATTTACTACTGAATTGCCAATTGAATACTTGACTTGTCTCGTTTATGCTAAATAAAGTGAATTAAAGTAGTTTAATTATTTTAATTTCTCTCTTACATGTTCAGTTTTGAAACATACACAGATGGTGTACTACATTTATTTTTATGCGTTTCCCATAAATTGACTAATTAATTTCAAATCCATTATACCAGGAAGTGGTAAGACATTGTATACAGGGCGTTGCGTGACATCCTCTCTTATTATAGGAAGTTACTACGAACATAATAGAAAAAATATGAAACATGAATAAAGCTTTCCAGAATTGGACATATTTCTATTAATAAAATTCAGTCAAATAAAAGCCAATTAAAAAAAATTGCTATCGCTAAGTTGGATGTTTCCCTATCCAAGAAGTTCATTGTCAAGATAAGGCTGCAACTGTCCAGAAATTTGAACGTGTATGCTATTTGCAAAACTAGCACTAACAGAATTTATCAGGTTAACAGGCAGCATTATCTTTCACAAAAACAAGAATGGTCAGAAACCAAAAATTGTAAATAAAAATTTAAAAATCTTATGTTCTCATCAATTTTTAAGAGAATCGATTGCACAAGTTTTTTCTCCAGCATTAAGTTTAAAAGCTAGTGTTTAAAAGCTAGTGTTTAAAAGCTATTTTTCAAAACCGTAAATTCTTAAAAGCTCATAGCTCAATAAGCATAGAAATGTGGACAGTTTGTTTGAAAAAGCTCTTTCGACGTTCTTGCAATGACCACAACCTTTTCGTTACTAGCATACATCCACAAAAACAACAACCGGCTTATAACTTTTTGAATACTCTAAAACCTTAAAGTAAAAAATGTCAACCCACATCTAAATTCATAAATTTTTAAAACTTTATTTATGTAAAGGAATTTGCACAACAAAATTCAACCAAAATAGTATTCAATCCATGTCGATAAAAGCCATTACAAGCCCTTTTAATGGGATTCGTGCACTAATATATTTGAGATTGATTTTTCTCTTGTTATGGAGAAATTTTTAAAATATTCAAGCTTTAGATTTTGGTATTTATGAATCACAGAAGAAGTTAATATTCGATCGGAATCTGCTCGCCTTCAATGCAAGCCAATAACCAGTTTTGCTAAATCATTTAATTTATTTATAACTGAGATAGATTGAATATTCAGGAATTAATTATCAATTTTAATAGACTGTTTGACGCTGAGAGCCGTTAAATTTGCACGTTTGTAGGATGGGTAGATTGATATATTTCAGCATAAGACTTATCAAATTGAAACTAATAAAATCTTCAATAGACCCACTAATTTGTGCTTTTTTTCACTAAATCACTAAAGTATTAAAATTAATTCATTTACATTGAATAGAATGAATTCTAACAGATCATTTTGTAAATAAAAATAGATTTTTATACAATAAAACCTTTTAACTTTCTGCAGTATATATTTTGCTGCCAGCTTTGTGTATTGTTTTAGCAATTTCATTGACTGCCTTTGTATACATTTGCAACATAAAACATCGACATTTTAAAGTAGCTGTATATGCACCGATAATATAAATTACACCGATAAGGCACCGATAAAGGCGATTAGCAGTACCTAATTGAAATACATTCAATAAATTCTGGGGAAAGAAAACGTAAAAGTTTGTTCCAACACGTCGATTAAAAACGTGAATTTAATTTGGTATTGATTGAGATTGGCAATTTGAATACTGGCAAACCCAAATTCATGCCCATGACTAGTCCTGAAAAACATAGATGCTAGAATTTAGATGAGTGTCAAAAACGCTTTTTGTTCCATTGAGACATTGCAAGTTTTAAAATTGTCGTCCGGCATAGAACGAATTTTGAACCAAAATGCTCCGAAAATCAAATAATTTACTATAATGCGTGATGCATTGAACTTCTCGTTGAAATACACTGTCTGGTGAGCAACTGCACGTAGAAACAACTTGATGTTTTATAATTGGAATAGATAAAATTGCGTAAATTTCCGTAGCAGTAATGCTACTGATAATGCACATGATAAATTTGTGTTTTTTTTTTTTGAGAAAATGAACCAATTTCTAACGTAGCAAAAGTTGAGTTTTAATCGTGCAGCAGCAAAGCCGCAATAACTTATTTCAAACTTATTAGTTCGTCTTTCGTCTCCTGTTGCCAATTGATCTAAAAAAGCACAGCTTTTGCAATAGTATCTTGTTTCCCTATGTGTTATCTCACGTAAACTTATTTACAATCCTGTTTTAAGAAATTAATTAAACACAACTATGCATAAGTTATAAACCCACAATTGGTACTGAGTTTGATTCCTAGTGAATTTCTAAAAACCCCTACTTTTCTGAATCAGTCAACAATTCTCTCCTTGCTTTCAAAATCATGCAATTGTTCTTACATTAACAAAACACGTTTATTTTGGCCTACAAACAACAAAGACTACAAAGGAGTTGAACACAGAAGAAATACAGACTCGTTATAATATTTTACACTTCCTTGTTTATTTTTTCAAGTAAAATTAATCGACAAATCTGGAAAAAATTAATACATAACAATTTCTAACGAGTGACGAGAACAATGTTACACTGATTAGAACCATATTGTTTTTACTAACATCTCTTTGGAATATTGACATGAAATTCAATACGATTCGGTTAAGAAAAATATAAAACATGTTGCGGTACTTAGATATTGCAAAATTGGAAGAAAATAATTAAATCAGACCATTATAGTGCACATTCAGTTTCCGTTCAGTTGTTGTTGCAAAAACCAACTAATCAGGCCAATCCCCAGGTTATAGTAAATTGAAAATATTAATCGTTAGCACCTAGATTAGGTTTTGGATATTTTTGGGTGCCTAGGAGTGGCTATATAGGTGTCCTAATCTTAGTACATGTACGTAAGAGATACTCCTAAATGCGGAGCAGTTTATTGGTAATGGATATCATATGGCACATATGTAATTAATAAAACCACTATTTTTGTTGCAACGAAAGCAAACTTTAAAAAAGTTTAGATCGTTTAAATAATGGCGAATTAATATAGCATCCCAAGCAAAGGTTTGATAAAATTGAAAATCAATCCTTCATAATTCGACATTAAAATATCATTTAGAACTTTCATAGTCTTACAAAGTGCATCAAGTTATTTAAATGGATAATTTAAGCGATAGTTTTTAGACAAAAGACGCTCATGTTAACCTTCGTTTATTTTATTTCTTTTCGAGGAGGAGCAGATTATGAATTGCTTAGTTGTTGCAAAAAAATAAGCCTAATCTAATATAGTAAATAACAATATTTTTACAGTGTATTTTATAATATGAAGTTGGAGCTTTTTGGCCAAAGCAGAACAGATAATATAGAAAGCTTTCTCAAACCTTAGAATTTGAATTCATCTGATTGCAACAGAATTGTAAAAGACAAATAAAATTTATATTTTTGGAAAATTCACCTCCTATTACACCAGATAACTTGGTTATGGTGGAATTATAGACTGTTAATATTAACAAGCACAACTTTTCCTATAAATTGTACATTTTAAAACATAATTGTAATATTCCAGACCCTAAATTTCAGACTTTTTCGAAATTATCGCTCGATGCATTAAAGATTTTTAAAATTATATTGAAACTTTATTGTAAAAATCTAACTACCTATACTCCCGTACTATTAATAAAAACCAAATGCACCATATAACAGGCGTTCTATACGATTAATTGCATAACATTTGACCATGCGGAACCCGAGCGTTATTTTCGCTTGAGAAAAATTGCCTCATTTCTTCACCCTACTACTTATGTCGAAGAATATAAAATGGTTTTGGGCCTATGAAGATCCAGTTCACCTTCAAACAGTGTCTTCAATACAACACCAAAAAATGAAAACTTTGGTAAGTATTGAAACTAATGTTAGAAAACTTTGACTGAAATATTGATTGTAGAACTTAAAATCGGCCAAGAAAAAAGGAAAACGTTAGAATTCATTTTTAGAACATTTTAAATTCTAGTTGTTTATTATTACTCTGCTACATGTGATTGATATTTCTAGAATACCGCTTTTAACATTTTACCGCAAAAATTTGAATAATTAAATTATGCTTGTTACGATAATTAACATCATAAAATGTTAAAAGTTCTTTGTAATTTTTATTAGAGTTTCAGTTTGAAAATATCATTAGCACCGTTCAGTAAAAATGAAAATTAACTTTTTAAATTGTAGTTGTAAAGTTAAAAAGGATTTGGTGCCTTCGGTCTAAAAAAAAATGCTATTGTTATAAGAATTTAAGTTTTCGATGGTTTTTCTAAACCGAAAAGCGTATTTAGGGAGTTACTTTGAGAATTAAATAAAATTTTCGCAGAAACAATAAGAATGAAAAGGAAATTGAAAGTTATTGTTGAACTACACCAGTCGTTTAGAGATTATTCTTTTTCACCGATGAATTTAGGAAGCTTTGCCAAAGTGGTGGCCAATTTTCTTTTGTATCATGAAATGTTTGGGTCATAAAATAGTAGAATGTATCAGGCCGATTTGCAGATATTTTATAAAAGTGATTAGGAAGGTATTTTAACGAGATGTTTCTAGTAGCCTCTAGTTGATTTAACCATTTAAAAAAAAAATTGTAAATCTCATAAGTGTGGCACAATTGAAAAACACTTATATCTTTATCAACATTCATCATAATTAAATATTGTAAGTAGAAGAATGTTTGCAAAAACTAAATTATTGGAACCAGCCGCGATACAATTGCTTACTAATAAAAATGTATTTAACTGCATCTGAATTGCTTTTGGTAAAACGTTATCTAAGACCCAATTTAAATTTAATTTCTTAGCTTCTGAGTCCGACTCTTCGCTTTCCATTAACATAGGAATTACATTGACAAATACAATTAATTAAATGGATAAATATTTGTATTCTTTTTTTCTTGTCCCTTTTACACAAAACGCAATTTCGAGCAAAATGGATTTTCCAACTCCGCGAATCAAATAACCTTCACAAATTTCCTGCCTTAACTGTTTCTTTCAAATCAGTAGATTCTAATTGCAAAACTTCGAGATTCAATGCTGAATTGGCAATTGACTTAGAAGCAATTCCAACGTTATTACTAATTTAAGGCAAACTAGTAATTTTGTACTTAATTAAACTATAGTCAAAATATTTTAAAAAATTTAATCTCACAATAATAAACCTTTTGGATTGCGGGTCATTGTTCTTAATATATTGAACGCATTCATTGCTGGATGGAAATTACGCATGTACTTTCTCTGTATGAAGCGAATTTAAAATAATTCTCTACTCATGTGTGCGCTTATGTTGGAAGCTCATTGCAGGTCCAATGACTGCGTTCGTGAAGCCAACGGTCATTGGGCTTTCATGTACCACATTGCAAATTCTTCACACCTGTCTATCGCACATGGTATGCTTTTATCTGCTGTTAAACGGTTTGCTGAATAACGAATAATTAGCCATTGTTATGAAAAAATACGTAGACCAGGCTAATTAAGCTAAAAATTAAGCCAACTAATAAACCAAGTGATCAGAAGTTGCAGATAAATTAATTTAATGCTATTCTTATCGGTGAGCTGCAATATTAAATGTCGCTAAAACGTCTCAAACTTATACAGCTGGTTATGTGCATGGTTCTATTACTATGTATGTATTTTTCCAGATTGCTTTCTTCGCTCTTGTAGCCCTCACCCTTGCCTTCCCAGGAGGTCATGAAGGTGGTGGGGACAAAGCCACTGAAGTCATTCATGGACACCCAGTGGTGACTGGTGTCTTCAAGAACCCTGGCATTGGATATTACAACAACTACGCCCCTAAAATCGAAGGTCCAGTCAAGCACCGAGGACAGGGTCCCCATATCGAAAAAGAAGAACATCATTAGAGTTTTGCTGATAACATAACGTACCTTCTTCTCTGCTTGTTAAGTTTCTTGTTGTGATGATCTTAGGTTTAATAAATTATTTTTTTTAAGTACGTGGTTGGTTTTCTTTTGTGTGGCGTAATAAACATTTAATAAGACTATAGTGGAACTGGTGGTCACTTTCCATACTGACGGGTAGTGAAATCATTCCTAGATGTGATAAATCCAAGGAAATTAAAATTTCCTTGTAATATAGAACAACTGAGATGCGAAAATTACTTTGAAACTTATACTGATTTCCAACGCAAACTGGCAACTGAAAGAATGAAATAGCCGATTTTCTAAAGGGATACAGAAAAAAAACGGAACATAGACTGTAATTTACTTTTCCAAATACTTAAATTGACTACGAAACAAAAAAAGATGTTCAGTGCGGAGCACGTTCTAAATTGGGAGAAGGGACGAATAAGTAAAGGTAGGTGACTAAGAGATCTAAAGGATCATAAAAGAGTTTTATGCCAAGCTAAAGAAAATAATTATACTACTACGACTAGTAAAGGTATCAAATATCGATAATCACTGGATAGTTCAATTGTAAGTTTGGAGGGTAGGCAGATAGATACACCAGGAAGCAGGACAATTCCGCGTAAACAACCAACTTTTAATTGGCAGTGAATTTTCAAAGTACCATCTGAAAATTCGATATACATTGAAATCACCAACATATAAAGAGATTAGAATTGTACGAATTCAACTGATTTTTTTCTGCAAGAAATATTTACGATAAAATTTGCAACAATCTATCCAGGATACAAAATATATATTGTCCATGACCCAGTGATAGTAAACCTTCCGAAAATAATATTTCTGAAAGTTAAGAGGCGGAGTGACAAAAATCACAAGAAAAGTCTAATATTTCACTCTGTGATTCTCAAAGGGCTAATTTTACAAAATTTTGAGGACTCTATTTTAGGACACATCTCTCGAAACATTTTAAAAATTGATACGTCTGGTCCACATGTGTGTGTTTTCAGTTTTATTTGAAATACACTCCTTAGTACTAATTCTCAAATATGATGTTGACATGGCAAATACGAAAAATCACGCTGCATTGACCAGGCTTGTACTTTGTCTACAATACCCCACTAAATTAAAGTTTTAAATACTTCACTTGCTTGTTCATTTCTGTTCCAGCTCTTAATTTTGGTGCGCCAGGTAATTGAGTTACTTCCGGAAAAGACACAAAAACAGGTCACCGTTCCACTTTTTCTTTTTCAGTTAAATTTGATAATAATTTTCCATCCCATTACAAGACCAGAAAATCCAGTTCATTTAATTTAAATATATTTCGAAGTTATTTTGCTCTATTTACCCTAAACTCGTTTCTTTTAATTAATTAGGAAACATTCACATCTAATGCTTCTGCAGTGGAATTTTTTACATAAACTGCTTGACGGTCACGGTAATTTTACATTTGTCCAGGCCAGAGAGAAATTTTGGTTTTAATATCTGAGACTTCCATCCACGATCCTCTTTTTTTTTCAGATTGAACAACTAGGTTGACCTGCTTGTTCTTCTTACAATTAACACATTTTTATTTTGTTTTTTTTTTCTTTATTTGCCAACTTTGAATCAATCCCAAGTATACACCCAGGTCGCCCTTTTCGCTTTTGTAGAAGACAGCCTTGCGTTAACTAGGCCTGGATAACAACGTGTTGAGTTGCGTTTTTGTGTTGTTGCCGCACTCTGAGTTAATCAGTTATGACTAATCGGTTAATGAGTTCTAACTCATTTATTAAAGCGGATTAAACCCGAGATTGGAATTTTAACATCTAAAAAAGTGTGTACAGACTGTTCCTTCAAAGCACACAAAAACTACCAAAGAGTAAAAGCTGCAAAGATTCTGAGCGCTGCAATGAAAGCAAAAATGTACGAACTAATTCGACTGATAATAGAAAGTAAGTTACTGAAGAACAAATGGATTAGAATTATGGTTGAAAGGTTTGACCATTAGAGCAGTGCCGTAGCAAGCTTAACTCGCGCCCGGGGCACAATACCTTTTTAGGGCCCCCCACCCTTATTCGAATTAATTCGACCCAGAAATTTTTTGTTTTGCGAACCATTTGACGCCCCTTTGTGAGTAGCGCCCGTTGCACGATGCCCCCATTGCCCACCCCTCGCTTCGCCTCTGTATTAGAGTATAAAAACATTTTTGGAAGGAGAGTGTTATTTTGAGAATTTCAATATTACTGAGAAGAAAAATACCGCTCTAGGAACTGGTCCTATCAATAAATCCTAAAATATTTTAAGGTCATAAAAATTACATTAATTTGTTACAAGAAAATATTTCCTGATTCTCTGAATTGCTATAACCAATTTCATTACAGTGGAAAAATCCCATACTGTCTGTAAAGATTATTTTTGCTTGAAAGAAAATGTTCCAATTTAAAGAAAATATTAAAACGGAATATTAAAAGTTGCATTTTAAACTTAATTAAGCCTGTAGCTGTGATTGTACAATCAAAATATACATTTAATTAGCTAAGTTGATATTTCTTTACGAGAAATTTAGTCAAAACTAGGCAAATAAAAATATTTGGCCAAAGATAACATGTATGAATACAGATTATCTGCAGTGCAGTCCAAATTGGGCCTAGATGCCTAGATATATAACAGCTAAATGAATCAAAAAAATCTTTGAATTAAAAATTCAGTTCGATATTGAGTTCAATTTGAGTCAAACTGGACAAGTGATGAGTAATACAAAAGAACGGAGACGTGCGTTTTAATAATGTTCTTTCAATTTTCATTAGGATTTTGTTTACCGTTGTTTTTCTTTCAGAAATCGTGCTCTAAAGATTTACATTTCTATTAGCATAAAATCGTAACAAAGCAACCAATGCCAGTGAATTTTCAAGATACTTCAAGTATCTTTCATAGGTAACGATTTAATATATCATTACAAAAAAATGGAGGTTTCTTCAAGTGAAGATTTGCAAGTAAAATATAAGGCATCGTAGTTTATTCTAATTGTTTCATATCATAAAATTTTAACTGCAGCTCACAATATACAGATACCGTTCAAAAATGGCAAGTTTTTGCTTTTTACAAATAGATAATATGTAATGGAAAATTGATGCACAAAATCCACTTAGTTGATAATAAACTTGGTACAAACTACGACTTCTCCCCATATAACCATTTTCTACTTTTAGTTAATTTTATAAAAGTCGTCTACAAACAGGCAATAAAAATGTTTCTAGAATTATTGCATTTATTAAATTTAAAAGATACGTTATTAAATCTATCCGACGTTTATCTAGCATGTGTGACTATCTATCTCAAAAGTAATGTGACATTGGGTGAAGCGTTGTTCGGTATGGCGTGTGACTAAAATGTACGGTAAATTTTTACCTCATTTCTCAAACTTCCGCCAAGTCATTTCAGGCAAATTTCAAAGTCGAATCACTAGCCGAATAAAATTTGGGCAAAAAATGAAATCCAATGGAAGAAATCGTTGTGTTGGGGTCTAATTAAAATTTCATGCCGGTCGGATTAAATTGCAGTTGTATACATTTTTGACGTACATGATCAGTGAACTCGTTTCATTTTTGGAAATCGCACAATATAAGGAAATCTGTATTTCTGATGCAGTTAATGAGCAAAACGTGCCTATCATATTTGTTGAAAATCTGTGAAAAACAACTTTTTTTATTGTAAGATCGTAGATAACAAGGAAAATGATACAGTTATAATTAAAACAGACTTGTTCGTTTAAAAACATTTTTCATTTATCATCAAATGATTGCAGCCCTTACAAATACAGAAATATGAGTCAATTTTCTAATTGCTGAAATATGTGTGTTGGGGTATTTGAGTTCGTTAAGCAGTAGTATTTTTGTTCTTTGTCTCTGATTATTGATTTTACTTTTGTGCTGGTTTCTCTAATGTTTTATAGTAATAAATAATCTATTTTACTAGGTTTAATACTGAAACCACTCTATCCCTTTTTAGCGCTCTGCGATGGCTTAAATACAGCCAAAACGTTGGTTAACGAATGTTTAGTAGAGCATATATGTTCTGGAGGGTTAAACATGAAATATAAATTATCATTATTTAATTTATCGTATTCCAAAAAGCGTAAATATTTCGACCTGCTTCTAAATATTTGAAAAAATGTTAATATTTGCATTGAGACTGGTGTAAGGTGATATCATAACATTGAGAATGCTTCAATTCAACTACCTTGGTTTTTTTAGAGTTTTAGCTATTGAATCATCCAACCGAACTTTTAAATACATATTCTCAAACACTCTTCCCAATCTTTTTAAAACCAAACCAAAAACATATTAAAAATTCTCAAATTACTATTGGGTAGTTTTCGAAACGAAAATCTGTTAACCGACGTTTTTTAAATCCATTTTAATAAGTAAGTACTTGAGTACGCTTGACTATAAGACGATGATATAAGAAGTTTACCAAAATTAATTT